AATTCAGCCTTTTCTGAGAAAAAAAAATGAATTTTCTTAAGGAAAAAAAAAGAAAACACAACCTCGTCAAAAAAAATCTACTAATACAACAGCTGGGTCCATCCATTTCAGTAACGCTTAGTACAATAACTACCTTGGTTCTCTCGAACATTGTCACAGTCATAATGAAATGGGGAGGTACTGAATGAGACGGGAACCCTCGTAATCAGGCTAGAATTAATTGTTAGCACATATTTTCTAAAAATGAGATCTGGCCACACATTTAGACATCGTGTGTACAGCGTGAGGCAAAAGTCGCGCAGCAGAGGTGTTACTTAATAAATTAAAATGTCTAATTTGTTTTGATAGGTCCTGCTGAATGGTCACCGAGGTTACCAGACCTTTGGGGTTTGGTGTATACTCATTTCTTTCCGGGTCCCGACCTAAGGTCAGAAATGGCATCATTACTTTTTCCACTGAACAGTTTTGAAAAAAAATGCACATATTTTAAATAGATAAAGCCCTTCGTAAAGTGTGGGCTGTAACTGTGTGTATAACTTTTTGTATCTCCCCAAGGCATGGGATACCAGGGATTCCTTCAATGAGTCTATTGTAATTTTTTTTTTCAAACAATCCAGCGGCTTCAACTCCAACTGGAATTGTTAAAGTCCTCATGCGCCATAGTTTCAGATTGCGATTTTCACCCTTCATTTCGATTTTCACCTTTGGATTTTTTCCGTGTAGCCATTTTAAATCAGTTGTTTATCAGACGCGCCTAAGAAATATTGAGGAACTTGAAGCAAGCACAGAATTGAAATATGTTTTGAAAAAGAAGGAAGGCATTTTGAACAACACATATAACAATTAAATTATAGCTACTAGATTAGCGGCTCGGACTGAGGAAACGGAAAGCCGAATTCGAATTCCAGTCAAATCCATTACATTCACTTACGTGCTCATACCCTTGGGAAAGGTATGAATCCTCTTCTCCACAGACATCCCCACCGCCCAGCTAGGTGTAAATAGCAGAACAGACCGGTTCTATAGCTTTGGATGGCAACTGGTCTACCGCAGAAAGAAATGGCAACCTACTGCGAGAAAAAAATCTGCCTCGTCAGTCATGTATCGAAAGATACATGATCACCTAAGCGTGTATCACGCATGGCACATAACTGAAATAAAATTTTCATGTATAATTAGACTTTTAATAAATTATCCATATTATGAGTGACTTTTGCCTCACGCTGTATGATACGGATTTAAAAAAAAAAGAAAGATGTCACATGTTCAATCACATTGATATGTGAATTAATAACGAAACCAAAAACCTAATTTTAAAAGAAACTTTTTAATAACACGCTTTTATGAATTTCATCAACGGTTTTGATTTCTCTGAGGAACGTATCAATATCAATAAACGTTTGCATCGAACAAAGGAGATATCTAGACGAGACTAGATTAAAGAAAGTTCCGATTCAATCACATACGGCTGCACTGGAAGATGTAACGCTAAATCAGAGATAGATTAAGGGAGATAACTCTAGCCGAAATAATTTGGCCTACGAATTGACTACATCTGAAGGCGGAAGTAACTATGGTGTAAATGAGTTTGTTAGGATGAAAGAAGCTGAATGAATGACGTAGAAACTGTCATGGCTACAGAAAAGCGGACACTGAAGTTAGCCAGACCGTTGTTTGAAATCTTCAGATGTCGCTCATAATGACCGCTTTAATCGCAGGATTTACAAGAAGAGGTTTCGCGGGAAAGATGAATAGGAGTGAGGAATTGGGTGGAATAGAGAAAAGAAAATGGCGGTGACCGAAAGGACTGAAAATGTAATGTCCACTAACATAACTCTCGTGTAACTTATTTGGTCGCTACCAGTTATTATTATTATTATTATTATTATTATTACTGTTGTTGTTGTTGTTGTTGTTGTGTCGCCCATTGACTTAGTTAATGAAAATTTTGTTCTTAAGAAATGGTGCCAACAAGATTCTTCACAACTCAAGAACTTTTCGAAAAAACTGGCATGTAAATAATGGTTGCTTGCTGGAAATCTACAAAACTTGGTCTAAGTTCCAATTCACCTTTTCAGTTTTTTAGATAAAGCGCGTTCATTACTATCAGCTGTGCATTCATATTCCATAATGTCTTCATTTCCCTATCCAGATCCTGGTATTTTTCAATCTTTTCAGTTTCTTTGGAGGTCGCTCTTTGTACTTCATTAACATGATCTGTCTGAACTGAGAAATCCCATAATATCTTGTCATTATTTTTATTTTTATTATTATTATTATTATCATTATTATTATTATCATTATTATTATTATTTAGCTTGTTCCTTCATTCGTTAGTTCGCATGGCCGTTACACACTGTAAATATCTCATAAATAATGGACTATTCCGTTTTGATCGAGTGTAAAAACGAAATATATATTAAAGACGCTATTTGGTTTCACTGAAATAAAGGAAAAAAGTAATAAAGGTGTGTTTAACGTCTCCTGCCAATACCACGTAAATAATGGACTATTCTGTTTTGATTGCGCGAGAAGAATATATATATATCAAAGACGCTACTTGGTTTCAGTGAGAAAATGGAAGAAAGAATGAAATATAGAAGTTTTAAACGTCTGTTTCAGTGAAATGGAAAGAGGTGTCAATTTCAATTTTTTCATTTTTACCCACTTCTTAAAGTTAAAATATTTAACGGTGCGGTAGGGGAATTTCTAAATATATTTTATTGTCATAGAACTTGCCATGAGATTATTCAGTTATTAATTTAAGAATTAAGATTCATCAGAAAATTTAAATAGGAAAACCGTGAAAGGTTTTTGGGTTAAAACTAGTTGTTATTATTATTATATCATCATCATCATCTATCGATTTCTTCTATGGCCACAATACCTACCATGTCTACAGGAAGACCTAAGGCAGGTAGTGGTGTTGTTATGGGTAGATTTCATTATTTTTTTCTAACTCCCATAACATCACTAGCGTTACATGGGCAAAGTTCTTCTTAGTGTGTGGGCTGTACTTATGAAGACAATTTTTGGTATTTCTCTTAAACTAGGATCTCCAGAGTTTTTCAATGTGTTGTTGTGTTCCTTTTTTATCATTCCAAGCGCACCTACTCTGACTGCTACTATTCTTGTTTTCAATTTCCAATTTTTTTTTATTTCGTTTTCCAGGTCTTTATACTTCGATAGTTTTTCAAATTCTTCGTTATCTGTGTTACAGTCCATTGGGCAAGCCATATCAATTAGTAGGCAAGATTTTTCTTTTCAGTTTTTGACAGTTATGGTCGCCTTATTTGCTTCAATCTTCCTGTCTGTAAAGATGGTGTAATCCCATAGAATTGTGATGTCATCTATTTCTGTAACCAGTGCTGGGTGATGTTCATTCCACTGTTTATTAACATCTTTTCCAAAGTTTTTGCCTATTGTCCAGTGTAAATATTACCCTACTCTCTCGTGACGATTTTTATATTCATTTCGCATAAGTAAAGAACATCCTGAGATTAAATGGTCTATGGTTTGCTGATATTTTCACAGAACCTTCATTTTGGATCCATGCTATTACGTATGATATTTGCCTTAAAGTTCCTAGTGAAAAGAATCTGGTCCTGTGCTGCAAGAATGAACCCTTCAGTTCCATCCTTCAGTCCAGATGCTCGTAAACATCGATGAGTTTTAACTTTATCAACATCGGCTTTATTAGCCTCGTTCTGGATATTGGTTATGCAGACGTTTTTCTTGTCAGTGTTGTTTCATCTGTTCAAGAGTTTTATCCTTGGCTTTCTTTTTCATAGTTTTTGTGGTAATAGTTGATTCTTGGGTCCTGTTTAGATTTTCTACAGAATCTACTAAATGTAAACCTCGTTTATATTTACAATCTTCTTTCATGACTGAATATTCTATTATTATCATTATTATTCTGTTATGGTCACTACTTACTAAGTCTGCGGGAAGACTTAGAGCGGGTAGTGGTTTGTTTTATGATTTGTTTTTCTAACTCCCATAACATTACTAGAGTTACATGGATAAAGTTCTTAGTGTTTGGGCTGTAGTTTTCAAGACAATGTTTTGTATTTCTCTTAAGCTGGAATTTCCAGGGATTTTTTCAATGTGTTGTTGTGTTCCTTTTTTTATCATTCCAAGCGCACTTACTATGACTTGTACTATTCTTGCTATTTCATGAATTAGCATGTAAGAAGAAAAAGAGACTGTTCTCCCAAAACTAGTCAAGAGAAAAATAAACATTTTGGATCAAAGAATAAGAAAGTTGATGCTAATGCAAAAAGCTTTTCACCTGCAGGATGACACATGGATTATATATGAAAACGAAAGAAGCAGGAAAGAAATGCGTCGTTATTGAAAATATTATCGACTCTGTGTTTAAGGGTAAGAGAAGGAAAAATAATGCAACTAATTAAACCAACTGGCAGTTTCGGTAATCTAACATGCGAACCAATGAAAGATAAAACTCCAAAACGTCAATTCAAAAATACGAAGAAAATCAACTAAACAAGCCTTTCAAGAGGAAAGCAAAAAGAATTACAGATGACATGTACATGATTATGAAGAGCCTATCTGAAAAGAGAAACTAAATTTCTAATAATGCCGACTTAGAACAATTTCATGAGACACAATTATATCAAGGCGAAGAAAGTACACAAAAAGTATCATGTACCCTGTTTCTTCAGGCCGTGAACTATAATGGCTCTCCACAGCTTCCCATAAATAATGTTTGACCCGTTACTATCCCTCTTACTCCTTGTTCTAATATCGATTTACACAAGTTCATTACTAGGTTACTGGTTGTTTCCTTCTGCCCATATCGTCAGTATGCCCTGTGAGTATCAAATTTTACAAACCTTCTTTCTTCATTATGGGTCCTGGAACTTTCAACTATCTGTTAATGACCTTAAGCACGAGTGCTCTTTTCTTTCCCATTTTCCTTAAAATTTTCTCTTTGCTCACATGTTCCGTCTGTGGTATTCTCACGTTTTTCTAGGCTTACGGATATATCACGTTGAAACACCGGTTCCCCTATAATAGCCGAAGTTAAGCAACGTCGAGCCTGGTCAGTACCTAGATTGGTAACCGTTTGGGAATACCAGGTGCTATAAGTATGGATGTGCAGAAAGTGTAACAGATAAGGATTCAGAATTGCTAATTGGAGCCGAGTTCGAATTCCCGTTGGTTTCGCTATATTCACTTAAGTGCAAATGCACTTGAGAAAGGCATGAATCCAACTCTTCTCTCTCTAGCTATGAGTTGATTTGCAAAACTTGTATCACTAAACCATTATTACCTCAAAAAGTTCTTACACTCTAAAAATACTTACTGGATTTAAATAACTTGCAAAGGGTTGATAAGCCGTAGAAAATGAATCAATCAAATAATGAAAAACTGATCAGCTACACAGGCATGTCTTTTAGATTTATTTACATTCACCAGAATATACATGTGAGAAACTACCGTGGTTACAAAGTGAGGGATCACTTTATATAATGAGTGTAATATAAAATTGATCTCCCACTTTATATCAACATTATTATAATAATTTACCGTCTTCCTGGGTATGATGATTAAGCAATCGTTGCAACGATGCATGATACAGACATTGTTGAATGAACCCAAAAGGATCTGTCAAACATGGTTTATATCCTAGGAGTAATGTAGCTAGGCTTTTCTTCTTTTATGTGCCATGTCTCTTGAGATCGTAGGCGATCATGGCCCTCCACAACTTCCTCTCCCTTTATGGCTTTTAATAAGTTTTGTCGTTTTGTTATTTCTCCCCCAACCCTGTCTTATCATTCATTTACTCAAGCCCATCAAGTATGTTTTCCTCTACCCCCTCTTTCCCTCAATCTGTCCTGTGAGGATCTGATTTTCCAAACCCTATTTCCACATTACGTGTCGCAGAAATTTCAACTGCCACTTCCTGATGTTAAGTATGAGTTTCTTTTCTTTTTTTTTTTTTTTGTTTCTAACTTCTCTAGAAACTCGTCGCTCCATGTTTAACTCAGCATCTTTCTGCAGAACTGCATTTCTCTTGCTTCAAGTCTTTTCTTCACCTTTAAGATTGTCCAGCATTCACTGCCATATAGGAGGACAGATACCACGTGAACAGTTCAGTACTTTTCCTGTCTCTTAATACTCTGCTTAGCTTTTGGAATGCTTCTTTGGCCATCCCAATACCTCTTCGGATCTCAGTGTATACCTATCCCGAGAGGTGAGTGGAAGAGGTTTAATAAGGATAGAGTTTATGTTCCTGCCTGAGTACTTACACACTAGCACGGAAATGATTCGTGAAAAGGTGCGTAGGGTGAAAACGTTATTGCGGAGACTGTAAATCTGGAGAATCAGGGAAAGAAAAACTGTTATGAGAAATTCGAGGCATGGAAGGGAAAAGCCTTGCATGGAGCGTTTGCACAGGAAACCCAAGAGTTGTCAGATCTGGAACCAAAGAGGTATTTTAGGAATGGATACTTAAAGGAAATCTAAGGTATGTGAAGCTCAAGAACAGTCTTAAGAACTTCTATCATTGAGGGAGCAGCTAGATTACCTTTGTACAGGTTGTGTAGGGAAGCATCTGAAAGTGCACAGCACATTATTAATAGCCACACTCAAGGTAGAGTCGTGCCAGCTACCATTATCTTTACATGCTGTAAACACAAGGATTTTGACACGTCAATGTATTTATATTTACCCAGCTGATAAGAAGTGGTTTTTATGAACAGATGTCGCTGTTATTTAAAAATGTGCATTCAATCCCAAGTATAAATCCATATTAAGGAAACCAGCCAAGCTTTGCGTACGATAGCTTATCAACCGCAACAGCTAACTCGATTATAACGCAAAGCAAACAACGAAATCTCTTTTATTACCGTTACCGCCATATTTAGACAAGAACAACTAAGCTACTCCTGTTTCCACATGTAATGGTTTCACAGGATATATATATATATATATATATATATATATATATATATTTATATATTTATATATATATACAGTATATGTCGGTGTATAAAGCGAACTTTTAACCTTAAAAATCCCGCCAAAAATAAAAATAAAAATATGAACCTTAAATCCTGTATTTTATGGTAAGTTCTTAGTTTGGTACATTTTTACGGTAGGCTGAACCCTGACTTGGTAACTATTGACACAAATATTTTCCACTGAAACAACTTAATTCACATTATTATAATAAAATAGTAAAAATGTAGTATAATAAAAATAACCTTTAACTTACATAATATGTGGTATGATTGTACGAAAAACGCATATTTGTCAATGAGAAATCCCAAACCATTGACATACTATAAATAAAGCAACTGCTAGACATGGGTGCCTTCAAAGCGCTTCGCCAGAAAGAGAGTTCAGGAAAAAAGATATTAATTCAAGGAATAGACTGGTAATTACAGTTTTAGCATACTAGCCAGTTCTTGTCGGCACGTAGAGAGGTGCGAGCTCTCACTTTGTCACGAGGATTATCCATTATTAGACGTCAGCTATCACAAGACCCCATCATGGCCCCCGACCAACAACCGGCAAAAGAAGGAAATATGAAGCATGTTTTAAGTGGAAAACAGTAAACTTTGACAAGGAACAGAATAACTCCCAATAATAACTCGCTACAGGTTTTTTCATTAGAATTTCAGTGTAAAAGAACGTTACTGAATTTATTTAATAAATCTAATACAATACATTTTAAATAAGGGCGCTCGTCTTGTACGGCGTATATAGACCGAAAATTACATTTTAAATTGAAAATTTTGGAGGTCGTCATATACGCCAGCACATACGATAATATGTTCGTGTTCTTATTGTTCACAGTTTTCCAGGGTGTTAACAATTTCACTTCAAATCACATTATGAAATCGTACATGTTTTTATCCTCTAAAACCATATATATATATATATATATATATATATAGCAAAGGGTTTCAAATTAAAAAAATAATAATGTTTTATTTTATGAAAGTATTTATTTATTTATATATATATTTGATATTTCAAATTGTCCTCAATTTTTCATCAGAAATAACTGTTTGTTACAAATAAATTAAAATTACTGTTTGTTAGCAAGTAGCGTCCTTCGCGAGACGCGGACGTCACGTGATATGGAACGTCACTGTTCGGATATTTCTAACTTAAATCTAACTGTCATAAATATTTTAAATGTTGTTTAAAAAAAATTTTTACTATATCTAAAAAAAATTGCTTAACTATTGAAATATTTATAAAGATTTAAAACACCTAAATCCCTATTCAACCCTAGTTTATGTGTATTTAATTTTAAAATCCAATATGTTTCTTTTTTTCTGCGTGTGAATGTGGAAGTAAAATCGAAATCTATCAATAAACATTTGCAGTTTTCTAATGTGTGTCCTGATTGATTGTAGTGTTTAGCTATGGGGGAATAGGGTTGTTTTGACGTATTGTTTGTTTATGGTTATTGAAACGAAATCTAAAATTATTTCCAGACTCACCAATATATCCACTATTAGGACATAAGTTGCAGAATAAATAATAGAGTACGTTATGACTATCGCAGGTGAGGTTAGGTGGCTGTATCCTGATATTAGAACAAATATATATATATATATATCAATGTTCTTAAGTTTTTTTTTTTTTTAAACAGAAGGATGCCAAACTGAATTCCAGCCACTTTCCTTTCCCGTAGCTCGGAATAAGCACTGCTACTATAGGCATCACACCACTACCTCATAAATAACAACCGTGGAAAGATACTAAAAACAATTAGCAACAAGCTCCTTTTAAATTGCTAGAAACCGCTTGAAACAAGACGGATATTTTTTACACACTCTTCCCCCACTAATTTTTCCTGTTGTGATGATGTTTGGTCGTTGGTGAGTATTTCTTTATATTTGAGATCTACTGCGCATGTCAGGAAATAGTTGTGGATGTGTTTGGGGAAGATATCATTTGCATTATGTAATACTTTTAAAGTACTTCTTGGAACGAATATTTCCGCGATGCAATTTAGTAAGAAATACCTTCTGTTACGTAGGGAAGAACCGGATAGTAGAAGCTTTCTGTAGATGGAAATATAATGTTGTTTCTGTCTCTTTGATATGATTTCCAAAATTATACAAAATATAGATCGAGAATGGATAGGAATCCAACAAAAGGATAGGACAAAGAACAAATAGGAAATAGATCTTAATCTAACATGTTTCACTTTATTAAAGCTTTGTCCAGAGATCAAGACAAAAATGATAAAAAGCAAAGAGACGCAGATTAACGATTAGTAAGATGCAGTAGGCTGTTTTGATTGGATACGTGTCGCATATAATGAAGTAATAGATAATATTCAAATAAGTGTACTCTTACTAGCTTTTACATATTTTAGCGTCGGGAATGATTGCCACATATATTTGAATATTATCTGTTACTTCATTACACGTGATATGTATCTAACCAATAAGAAATAGCCAAACACAACATACCATTTATCTGCGTGTCTTTGCGTTTTATCAATTTTTATTATTTCTACCTAGATCGCTGACAAAGCCTTCATAAAGTGAAACATGTTAGATTAAGATTTGTTTCCTACTTGTTCTTTATCCGATCATTTTGTCGGATTCCTATCATTACTCGATATATATATATATATATATATACACGCACACATGGATATATATATATATATGTATACACACATGTATATATACATATATGTATACACACATGCGTGTATATATGTGTGTGTGTGTGTGTGTGTGTGTGTGTGTGTGTGTGTGTGTGTGTGTGTGTGTCTTGCAGCATTAAGAGCGTTTAGGAATGGTAAAAATGTCCAAATAGCCATGCTTCCCGCAAGGCACCTGATCAGCACGAACCCCGTACGTCAGATTTTTCTCATTATTTATCGATATATTGCAACTGTGTCTCATCCTTTTTACAATATCAAAGTTACTCGCTAATGAATTCCGAGGTAAGGGATAAACATATCCATTGGGTTGCGTGACAGATGAACAGAGCGAGCAATCTTTTTAGATTCACCATTTTAGCACCATACATATATGTATATGTATATGTGTATATATATATGTGTGTGTGTGTGTGTGTGTGTGTGTGTGTGTGTGTGTGTGTG